GACCTTCCCCATCTCCGAAACAAGCGTACCAAATGTGCCAGCAATGCATCGGTTGCTGTACCGCTTCTTGGCTAAGTGTCACGCATCGAAACCTGCGAAGGCGTTCTGTTTTGCTGGCGCTTGTGTGGCACGTTGGTGTGAGAGCAGACAAAATTCAGCACGATGCGCGTCACAGCCTTGAATGATCACGTGGCTAAGCTACCTGTGTATCGACGTCACTGCCCAACTCGGCGCCACGAAACCGAAACCGAAAATGGTTCACATAAGTAGAGCAATATTGAAATATTTAGCGGAAATATACGAATCTTGGTGCGTGCATCACGCTCCTTGGAGCTGAAGGAAACGGTTACAGCAAAGAACACGCATGCCACAAATTCGGTGGCACCACCCTTTTAAGGCATAGCAATTGTACCTGCTCCTTATCGTTGCAACAATATTATAGCAAACTACATTGTCACTGTTTCATATGTTAAACGACGCAGCCACCAAAACAGTATGGGATGGTTCTTTGAGAAAGAGCTCTAGTCTCAGAGCTCTGATGACAAAGAAACAAAGTGGAAATAATTCTGCATATGGCAACTCAACCATAAAATTGATGTACCACATAAATTACATTAGAAGCACTATCTCAATGGAGCTGCAATTCAAAAGAATTTTCGGGGCAGCCATACAAAATTACGCATATATTTACAGATTTTGCCGACTTCACACAGCCCAATGTGTGCTGTGTGTTCGTGTTGCTGTGTTCTGCGAATGTTGCTGAAGTCTAAATCAGGATGCTGACGGCATAGCACCAACAGTCAACTGAGCCTAGCTGTTTCAACCCAGCACCTAACTTTCGTATGTGATGTCACAGATATATGATGCAGCAGTTTCCTCCGATATCGGCCTCATGTGGTTCAACCATCAAATCTTTTAGGATGTGTAGATTTCAAATAACATACTGATAGTGACATCGTTCATCGTGTCTGATCTTCTACATATGCCATGCCGCATGACAAATTCCAAACATACATAGCATTTTCCCCAGCCTTAAATTCTGTCATGCTTGCCTCAACAACCTACTCATTGCAAGTTCATCAGATGCGCACAGTTCACATCTGAATTCCGTTATTCAACATATAAACAAGGCACGTTTGTCAGCATAAGAAGATGTGAATTTGATGTCTAAAAGCTCACCTGTCCTACTCTTCTGTTCTCCGTATGCAGTATTCAGCTCTACCCAGGCAGATTTATAGGTGTTGAGAGCTTCCCGTCCCTGAATACTACACGCTGATAAGCCCAATAAGCTCCTTCGTCTTATTTTTGTGAACTACATTCTATACTAACATTTTGTAAAATGGCGCCAGGTCATTATACATAATTCCTCCACTTCGTGCTATTGATACACAGAAATGCTACTATATTGAGCTCCCTTAGACCAAGAACTCCCATACAAACTTTTGGGGATCAATAGATGCTGGCGTGACAGTATATGCTACTCCCTGAATATCAAATGACAGTTCCACTATACATCATCGTACGACATCTTGAATGCAATTGGTGCTAGATAACCAACTCGTTAAAGAAGCATATATGAGGGCCAATCAGTTCCCTGACATGTCCTGAAAACTTATGCCCACTATCTGAGCAGCATCACAGCATTTTTTGTGGAGACTTAAGCCAATAGACCCTCAAAAATGTCACTGAATAACGTGGTTGGCCACGCAAACACTCCCAGCAATGCGACAATGCGACCGAACCCCGAAGTGCCGCAGAGCAATCCACCCAGGTGGCACGCACACCCACGCGATGCCATACTACACCTCACGCTACCCGCCCGAAGAAGCCCTTGGACCTCCTGCGTACTTGAAAGACTCTCTGAAAGACTCGGTATGTGAAAGACTCTCTAATTGTGATGTACCCAACTGTGCTTACATGTGGCCACGAATGGTCAGTGCTTATGTCATGCCATCATTACATGGAAGGAATGACGTGATTTCCTTGTCATAGAATACGTGAGTACATCTCTTATCGGTACTTGTTACACTTCCTCAGTTACAATCGTTGCATCCATATTTCCATGAACTGCAGCAGATGTCAAACACATCCGAAACATATCATAGGAGCGGTCAACATTGTCATTGATGCCCTTTCACATAGTCCCAAACAACAAGTTCACCTATCCCAGAGAAATATACATCTTAAAAAAGTGGCGACTAGTTGACATGACAACAAATTCTGCCATCTGCAAGAAATATAAGCTTCGACGCTGCTAGGCTTTCAGTGGTGCAGAGTCGTTTGCCAGGAACAGGATACATATTAGCTTCAACACATGCTGTGACCTAAGAACCGACCAATCACGCCCACCTGCAAGCACAATTAGGCATAATACTAGACTGTCTTTCATGCCCAAGTACACGGGCAATCCAAAGCCCCCCCCCCCCCCCCGGCAGACAACGCAAGGTGCACGGCATCACGTGGGCCCAGGCACCCCCCGTGCTGAATGCCCTGCAGTACACCAAGACCCAATCACACCGCGACACTGCCGAACATGTACGCAGGCCCAACCACCCGACTCAACGACATTTCCGAGAATCTTATCGGCCATAGACTAGCCTGCTGCCTTGCAAAAAAAAAACTTGTCGGCTTGTGTGGACTGCATGGTCCAGCGTTGGGTAGAATATATTCTTCCTGCAGACGTTGCTAGGTAACGCACTGTTACTTTTGCTTTTCTGGCTGCTGGCTTCATCACTCATGTTCTCCTCGGTTCTAACAGATAGAGAAAGCCAATATTGACCCACAGTATTTCACCACGACCAAACATATTTGTAGAGAGTGTGCTTCCGCACTTTCACATTTACGTATGCGCTGGTTTTGGTCGTCGTGCAGAGACAGTGGTTGCAAGTGATAAGTATTAGGAACCTTCCAGAACTGCTTCGGGTTATTGGGAAATTTGTTTGGGAGTTTGAAAAAAAAAGTCAAGCTCGGTTTTGCTACAAAATGATTCAAACGTTGCGATATTTCTGCCATGCGCACTGTGTGTTAGAACGCTTGGCAGTAGAGAACAATCTTTTCTTTTTGTTATTCAAGCTTTTTTTATGTTGAGTTAAAACAAAAATATAACTTTTTTCTATTACGATTATTGTGAGCACAAGTTTATTTACCCAGTCATGCATTTTCTTTTTAAACTTCTGCCATGCCTTCCTTCGGCCAGCCAACACTTTTTGACTGCCTCAATGCATAAAATGCAAACTTGGAGTTGACCGCTCCAAACAAAAAGGAGCATATGCTGCCATTTTGGAGGTCATGGTTTGCTTGGGTGGTAGCACAGAAGTCCTTATTTTAGCTTTAATTCCCATCATCTCACTGGTCGCATCAAAGAAACCTTTTGCGCCATTCGTAGTAACACATGTCGTACGGGGCAGTTCAGATGGGGATGCAAAGAAGAAAGAAGTACGAATGATCCATCGGGAGCTGAGCCAGAATGGCTGCCCTGGTTGCTCATCTCTAAAGCTGGAAGCAGATGCTAAAACCAAGCTCACAGAGCACACCTGAATATTTTTGCACTTGCGCCCATATCTTACATCCAAGGAATTGGCGAGTGACTTTCTCGCTTCTTTTCGAAATGGCTATATGCGCATTGCTTACATCTCGATAGGCAAGCTCCGAAACCAGCTCGCGAACGTAGAAGACGGGCTCCTTGGTGAATCAATGTCAGGTGTAGTGTACAAGATTGCATGCTCTGATTGTATTCAAGTGTATTCAGTCACTGGTGGATTTTTCGAACTGCTCAAGTTCGACTGCTTCATTGATAGGTGAAGATTAACGTCCCAAAATTACCATAGGATTATGGGAGATGCTGTAGTGGAGTGTTCAGGAAATTTAGACTACTGGAAGTTCTTTAACGTGCACCAAAACCTGAGAAAACGTGGTTACAGCATTTTCGCTTCTATCAAAAATGCAGTTGTCACTGCCGGCATAAGATCTCGCGACCTGCGGGTCAGCTGCCGAGTACCTTTGCCACTAGACAACCGTTCTGTGGCATCACTAATTTGGACTTATTGCATGTTTTTAAATAATGGTAGAGGTTAATTCTGTGTCTGTAGCTACTTCTAACAAAGCATTATCAAATTAATTAGGCGAGAAATTACTGTGAGTACCTTTAAAAAGTTGTAAAAGTTTATTCCTTGTAAAGCTGCAGGGCCACTAGCAAACAGTCCATGGCCAGTCCTGGGACTGGCCATGTACCTTAAAGGTTTGCGTTTGTTTCTGTTGTTGCTTACGGGCTCAATATTTGTTAATGAGTCTGCTGTCTTCTTAAGCTCACACTACTGTCCTTGGAATTGTTGACTCACCGCGGCGTCTTGCAAGCATAGTGCGAATGTGCTGCGTGTGCTTAGTTCTTTCAAGCATTCAGCTGTCGGTGATAGCCACCGGTACGAAAATTTAGAAGTTGCTAAAGCAGGGGTGACTTTAAACGATCTGATATGGAGACAGATTTATTTTGTGAGGCGTTTGGTCATGTACCATAACCCGCACCAGTCCGATGCTTCACCAACCGTGCTGTGTTATCACTCAGACAAACAGGCACTTCTGTTGACAGGTATCGCTTAGGCACCACCGAAAGTAAGCGCTTATTTGCCAAGTATTGGCCATGGTCGCTACAATTAATGAATGAATGGGACACTAAAAGTCCTCGAGAAGGTTTTTTTTGCTGATCTTAAAATATTGAATCTTCAGAAAAATTTGCACATTTCTTCAAGTGCATGAAATAGAACTGCATTCTGTGTAGTTCATCACTGCAGAGTTTTTTTTTCTTTTGGCCTGTTTTCAGCTTTTATGTTCATTTTTACTGTCCCCGTTTCTTCCTGCCAGTGGGGTTCTACTGCATGTATATCAGTTCAAAATGTAATTGAGAGGTTCTTAAACTCGGCACAATGCTTTAGTCATCGGGCTGAAATAATAAGTGCAGTTTCACTGTTTTCATATGAAATAATTTGTGGCTTTTATGTGTGCAGGATAACCTGGTTAATGATGTGACCCTCTTAAGGGCCACTACATGCGGCTGATTGGAGAAGCATGACTCTCATTTGGTCAAGTGCTTCACCAACGTAGTATCATGGACAGAGGCCGCAACGGCACGCACAGGAGCTTCGCGAGAACTGTCAAACTGGTTTGCGACAAAAGGAGGCCAGAAACGTGCACAGCAGTCATTGTCTCCGCAAGAAGGGGAATCATGAAGAGGTTGGTGAGGAAACTTTGTCATTGCAGTGGTGTGTATATATCGCCATGCATGCACGCCTGTTTTATAACTTGTTTCATTTTGAAAACTATAGCGTCCTTCTTATGAGCACAGCTGCGTGTTACATTTCCAGCCGTAGAATGTACAACTGTTGGCATACATGAATATTTCGCCGCAGGGCCTTGACTCGCTTCGACTGATGCCAGCACTGCCAAGTATTCGACATTGCATGTGTGCTGCAACTTTTAGTAGATGAAGTGGGAGTTAATTTCACTAGTGATTGTTTGCACGTATGCCTTACCATTGAGTTTATTGCATTCACTTGGCAGGTTCAATTTCACCATGCTTCGTTCGGGGCGATTTCAAGGCGTGCCCATCAAATTCATTGTCATATGCTTGTCTCGGTTATCAACCGTTGCGTGAGAGAAGTAACATAGCACTAAAACTCGAAATTTCAGCTTCTGCTTTAAATGATTTATGTAAATTATAAATAGATCAACACCTTGCTCACCACGTTTCAGATTTACTGTGCAACACTTACAAATGCTATGACTGTGCGTCTCCTCTGCTTTCTCAGTTAAGCAATCCTTTCGAGCAGCAGCTGCAATTTAGAACTAGGATTGTGCCTGAGTTGTCGCATACAATGGTTAATTTCCGAGATAGGCGTTGGGAAAGAATTTCATAAGTAGGCATAAAAACATAGCCACGAAAAACATGTGTCAATAACTGACCGGCCAACTGTTTTTTTTTTTTACCAGAATGGTCAGAAGTGAAGTGGAAACTTCCGGGAGAAACAAACCCGCACTCCATCTATGATTTTCTGAAGCAAAAATACTCTCTTCACCGCTTCGCGGCGTTATCTTCACTCAAAGAGGCCACTTGGAGTGAAGCATGCGTATGGCTTTACACGCCTAATGAGAGAAATGCTTAAATGCATTGCTACTTGCTTTCGCGGATAACTGCACACAAAAATAACTTGTTATTTTTGATGCTTAGGGGCATCTATCTGTTCCATGCTCTCCATTGTCTGCAGTGGTCTGCGGAAGGAAAACCTCAACCTCAACTCATGATAGTACCGACATTCAAGCCATTGCTCTTTCGTGATGTGTGAGCATTTCCTAAGTCATGATTTCTTTGAACAGTAATACTACTTTTGTAAAATCAGTTCTTCAAATGATCAGGCTGCATAGGGAGCACATAGAAGATTTTGTGCAAACGTAAATTTACTGCTAAGGTTTCCTTAGTGGGCCTAATAAGCTGGAGTAGTTCAGCGATAGGCATTTCTTAATTGGCAAAAATGTATCTGTGTTCTTTATTTTTTAGAAGTGTGAAAATTGCAAACTTTTGGTCGTGAAGCGACATCAAATATTTATTTCTGAGTGCTAATGAAATATATCTACAATATTTGTTGAATATTTTCGAATAATTTGAAGAAAAGTTAGAAAAGAAGGGTTTCTGAAGATCCCTAAGCACAACAATATTATATAGCAACATGATATAGTTCCCTTTGGCGAGTGGCAATGTGCTGAAGGAAAGTGGTTCTGTTGTTTCATCAAGGATGAGGAAATACAGGTGGCACTTATTTACCTTATTTGGTGCAACCAATAAGGCGTCTACAGCACTTTACGTGTCATGGTAAAAGCCGCTACTTGCTCCACCTCTCCCCTCCTCAACTTCTGAGGAGGCACTTCTGATTTGTGGACAAGGGTGGGCTGCCTGCAAATTCGGAGTTGGTGGTGAAAAACATTTACCGAGTCTATTTACAAGTGAGAGATAGGGGTGGCCTTAAGAACTAACCCTGCAAAAACTCTAGGAGGAATTCCTAGTCCTAGAATCCTGTGGTTTCGCCGCGGCACCCACTCTTGCCATGAGGGCTCTTTGACCCTCCAAGGCCGAGAAGCCGAGTGGGGCAGCCAGCCTCCCTGGTCTCTCGGGTATGAGTTGAAGAAAAGTAATCGGGGGGCTGGCCGGTCGCATGGGCATCCCCACACTATGTGGAATGTGACCGCAAGCTGATCATCACATTGTGGCTGGATTAAAACACCTGAGTATTGATGGGTACAATACTGTGTTTGTAAAGAGGCACAAAAACCAGCGCTCGTCTACCTTATTCAGGCCCGTCTGGGTGCGGAAACCGAAGCCTGTTCGATTTGTACATTGCTGAGATCTCGTGAAAGGAGGTGACTGAATAGGTTCTAGATCGTCAGGTGCTGAAAGATGAAGTTTCTGGTTATGAAGTACGTATGCTGAAGCATCGGGAGCCTCGTTACCAACTAGTCCTGTATGAGCTGAGGTCCAGATGACTAAACGTGTGTTTGGGCGATCAAGATGATAACATCCCTTCAGGATTCGAGTAGCGCGAATGGTGATACGACCTTTTGTGCGATTTCGGCACGCACTCCGCGAATCGGTGCTAATGACCTTATATGCGGCGTCCCTGGCACCAAGAGCTATGGCAACTTTTTCTGCGTAAGTGATGTCTATGGCTCGATAAATCCCCCCCCCCCCCCGTTGATGGCCAGATGCATTCGTTTAGAATACTTCAAAACGGGACACATAGCGTCCTTGCAAGGCTGTAACATGCGCAGTTCGCCTGCTTTCATAAGTGTCCCTAGCCGTGTTTTTGAGCACAGGCTGAATAAACAATGCACCAGGCCACTCCTCCTTGATCGTGGTTTGCTCTGCTGCGTGGGAGTTGTAGGATTAATCGTGTTGTAGGAGTGACGCGTGAGAGTGAGAGTTGTAGGAGTAGGCATACTAAACAGTCAAGGGGTGACTGTAACGGCGCAGTGCATCTACATGGTGGCACCAGCATTGTCTCTAATTAATATAATTGCTACCGTAACAGAGCCTGAAGGAGAGCTTCACCGCATTGCGCAACTAAATTGGGGCAAAGCAAGGTAAAAATGGGAAAGGGCTGCAATCAATTGGCTGTTGACGGAATTTGTGTTTTAAAAGTTTAAAAAGTAAAATGCTAGTGGAAATGACTGAAATGGCAAATTTTAATTAAAAAGATGTGAAAGTTCAAATATTCAGCATAATGACTTTCATTTATGACATTAAATAATGTTGCAACGAATTGTTCTTTTTCGTGCTCTGCAGCCCGGCCAGAAGCGTTTTGGGAAAAGCAGCGAAGCAGGTGTCAGCCTGAAGATCAAGCTGTGACTAGGATGGAAAATAATAAACACAGAAGTCATTTTCTGTCCTGCACTACTGTACAAGCCCACTGTTCTTACCTCTGGTCATGTAAAAGTACATGTTTGCATACACAATGCATTCAATACACTTTAAGAAGGATTACACGAAGACCCGCCATGCAAAAACACACTAGCCCAGCCGTTGCCTAAACACACTATTCTGGCCCAACCAAAACACGCTAGCCCGGGCCTTCCCAAAACAGACCAGTTCTCTTCACACCAGAAATCAGATGTATACACCAGACCTGCCACAATACATGTCTAAATTGCTGGTCTGGTGGAACAGGGAAACATACACCAGGCAAGGTCTGGTGTTTTTCATTTCGACCTTGCTTGGACGTCGTCGTTTTCTTCTATTCTTTTAGGGGCGAAGCTCCTTAGGGCGTGGGCTGTGCGTCCCCTGTAGCCTGTATGTAGCCACCTCTAGTTTAGTTCTTGCAGTGTTCACTAGATGGCGGTACCGTCCCCTGTATGTAGCCACCTCTAGTTTAGTTCTTGCAGTGTTCACTAGATGGCGGTACCATCTCCTGTATGTAGCCACCTCTCGTTTAGTTCTTGTAGTGTTTACTAGATGGTGGTACTTGTAGCTGATGATGAAAAGATGCAAGATGTTATAAACTAGAAAGCGGTACTTGTAGTTGATGAAAGACGCAAGATCTTATAAAATAGGAATGATGTCACATATGGCGCGTGTCATTGGTTGAAGGCAATCGATCGATTTAGTGCGGCGACGTACGCTAGGGGGAGCGATGTAATTAAAATCGAGTGGGCAAAATGTACAAAGGATTCATGGTTTACCAGGTTTACCTCGGGAGCTTCGCCCACTCATCATCATTCACTTCTTGGATATGGCGGAATTTTTTTATTATACGTCATGCTATGCTTGCCTGTGATAATTTTATTGCACTCTACTCGTCGACCTCTTTATCTGACAAAGATACTTCAGCTTATATTACATCCCCCGCGTTGCAAAAGAGTCCCTTCATAACACCAAATGTAGCATATATGGAAGTATATAAGCAAGCACGGGAGAAGGAAACACTTGAAAAGAAAGACGCCCAACTTACAGTTTTAACTTGAGCATCTTTGCTGTCAAGTGCTTCGTTCTTTTTATCTTGTGCGCTCATATACTTCCACATTATGTTGCTTCAATCGGGCCACCACTCCACTATTTTGAAATAAATGTAACCTTTTACAAATACATACCTTTGGCCAAGTAACGCTGCTAAGAAGTTCAAATACCCAGCATAAGAAATTAGGGCATCAAAAACAAACGTTTGTACTCCTCTGTGAAAGCGCAACTTCACGACTTTGAGTGGCTTACTTCAGTCTAGTTACTTTTACATCTCTCACAATAGACACTTTCAAAGGGATGAGCTTACAATGATAAACTTGAGTTCCATATTTGCAACTTCAAAGTGAATATTTAAGTTCTGTAATCAAACAGGGAGGCATTGACACAATGTCAGCAGAAGGCTGGTCTAGTTTAAGGCAGTTTGTGCAATGAAGAATTAGAAAATGGATATTTTGGACACATGGACGCTTGACTTGCTGAGAATAGCTGCTGTGTCCTAAGGTGCTCTTCGAAAAATTGTGAGGGAGTGCAAGGTTGGAAGTGCGTCAGCGATTATTTATCTATTTATTTACTTAGGGAAGAGGAATTAACCAGATTCTGCATAAAGTGCGAATAGACTGAGTTCTTAAGAGTACATTTAGTGAACAAATTTGGTAGAAGAATTCGAAACAACTGCTAGTGAACCTATGACTTGTGTTTCGCGTGGGTTCAGCACGACAGAAGTATATGGAAGCATTCTTCTAACAAGTGATTGATAGGGCAATATATCCCACATACCTTGAGCCCGGACGAAGGCTATATGAGCCTAGCAACACCTAGCATACAGCTAGCTGGTGGTTTGATATTAATCAGAGGAGCATGACAAAGCATAATAACATTATTACAGCCAGCGCAAGCGAAACACACATAAAAAAACGATGACAGATGAGCTGGCTGCCAGTTAAACGTTTCATAAAAAATCACAATATATATACGCAGAAAAAATATTAACAACAAAACACATGCCCCGAAGACAACCTACAAAAAATAACCTTATGCGTGCACTAATGCAACTGCGCACTTTTCAGGGAAGCCACTTGCTCATCAATTGAAGCGATAGAAGGGCAGCACATGCACGTTTGCACAGCATTTTTAAGTGCGAAGCATTTATTTGCATACTGCAAGAACTTCTGACGTCTGTCCACGAATCTATCTATCTATCTATCTATCTATCTATCTATCTATCTATCTATCTATCTATCTATCTAGCACCTACGTCTTGGTGTTTTCGAGATCACACCCATAAGTTTGGGTAAACCAAAATTAGTATGGGAGGGTAAGATGGCCTGAAAGATATTACTCGCTGCTTATGGCTTGAATAATTTCACAAACTCGTCGCGTACGTCGTCAAACACTTTCCGCCATACAGTGGCACATGACCGAGAGCAAGTATGTGCCACTGGTATGCGAGTATGTGCCACAGGTGACTGACTTTTACATCTACCCAGGAACGGCGAAAGACACATGCGTAATGCGCTCACGCACTGAAATTGCCTATTGTGTTCTCGTCGTTTCTAGGTAGATACTAAGTGTCAATCGTCTGTGGCACACACCAGCATAACTGCGGCACATAGCCACCCGTGAGTATGTGCCACTGTCGGGTGGGAAGTGTTTGAAGATGAACATCAAAAACAAAAGGCTGGCATTGTTTGCATTGACTTCAGAAATGTTAAGAGAAAATGTCAGTGTTTCAGCAGGATTCGAACCGTAGCATTACGTATGGCAACGAAGTATTATACCACAGAGCCATGGTAGTTTTTGCAACGGCTTTTGAAATAGACCGTAATGTTCGTGAAGCGTTGATTAGGGATGCAGTAATAGCTATCCATTTTTATAAGCAATACATATGTACTCCTATGATACAGCCGTCACGTCGGGTTAATACCAACTGTAGTTAGGCGCTATTCGCTGAAGGTGATTGACAGTTTATATAAACCAAGAAACGACGCTAGCACACAATGGTGGTTTTATATCGAGAGTGTTAGGAAAAATCAGTGCATCTTCACAAAGCGAATGACAAAAATTTGGCAGATCTCACGCAACTGGGAATTGACGTTAGGCGAAGCATGCGGAAGGAAGGTGAACGTGTTGAAGTTTTTTTATGGAACGACACGTCATGAAATGACGTGTGTTTCAATAACAAAGTTCAATAAAATATGTACAAATGTTTCACGCACAAACTTATGTTGAGGAGTTCCAGATGTTTACACAACCAGTCATTTGCACTTGCGCAACAATTCCAGCTGGAACATGGGGTTTAGCAACACCAGAAGCTGTTAAGAAGCGATGATGCTCGCGAGGATGCTCTCCTGGACACTGCTACATAAGTCAATTTCATTGCATGGCAACTAACCACAATTGATGTTAACCCTATGTGACGGCTGTATCAAAGGAGTACATATGCATTGTTTGTAAAATTGGGTAGCAGAACTGCAACCATCATTCACGATTTCAGAAGATTAGCGTCTATTTAAAAAGAACTTCCGAGACCTGGCTTAGCTGTGTGGCAAAACGCTTCATTGCCACGCAGAGAGCTTGGGTTTGATTCCAGCCACGACCCTGACATTTATTATTTGCATTCGTTGGGTCGACGCTACCGATGTATGGTATTTCTTAACGCTCACGCACTGAAATTGCCCTTTGTGTTCTCGTCATTTCTAGGTAGATGCTAAGTATCAATAACCTGTGGCACACACCAGCATAACTGCGGCACATAGCCACCAGTGAGTATGTGCCACTGTCTGGTGGGAAGTGTTTGAAGATGTACGCGACGGGATTGTGACATGATTCATGTCTTCAAAAGCGCGTCATATTCGTCAAGCCATCTTACCCTCCCATGATAATTTTGGTGCACACCAGTTTAAGGGGGTAACCTCGACAGCACCCAAACGTAAGCGGCTAGATAGATAGGCAGACAGATAGACAGATAACAGATACATAGATACATAGATATACAAGCTCAAAGTTGCCGAAGTTCGTTAATAAAGCATCGCATTTAAAAGTATGTGAAGAAAGAGGTCCTAATCTCCATATTAGCTACATTTAAGTCTTCGACTAGTGTAAAGGATGGACGGACACACTGACGGTCTGTTGAACGTATGCACGGATGGTGGGACGCAAGGATGAACGGACGGACGCTCGGATAGAACGACTGACTAATAGAATGATGAATAGACTGACGAGCGGCCCGGTTATCATGTACTGTGCTGTCGTACAGTTGATTACACATATTCAGCTGTTTGCTCATATATGTTTTCGTTTTTACAATTGCAGGTGGTTTGTTTCGATTGGGGTTTTGTGGGGCGTGATGGACGCGAACTAGGTCGGTCCTATAGCGTTTCGCCCCTAAATGTTGGCATTGGCAGTCTTCACTCAATTTGTATATAATAAATAGCATCGTCCGGCAGGAAAAGAACCCCAGTATTTATCGAGGCCATCGACTATTCTTCCACAGATCGACGCCAGGTCCCGAAACTGCTTTTCAAGTACACTGTAATATTCGTGAAATGTCAATTGTGGGTAGAGGGCTGGCTACCCAATCTTATAAAGAATTCATACATACTCCTATCATATAGCCATCACATCGGGTGAAGATCAATTGTATTGAAGCGCCATTCACCGAAGCTTCTTTATCAAGTAGTGTTCAGGGCCGGCATACTCGCTAACATAAGCGTTACCTGTCAGCTTACCACTACTAGTGTGGCAATACTCACGTTGCTGATGTCATCGTTACGCAACAGTAATCATAAAACAGTTTAACATATGTAAGTGAATGACCCAGGCGCAATCAATGAACCCGATGGCGTGTTTCATGGAACACTGACGATCTGCACAAGTTCGCTATCTTTGTTTCTCCTTGTTGTCAATGGAAGTGACAACAAGGAGATCCAGTTTTTCTGTCGGCA